CTACAAGTTTCTCCTCACCCTTGACATTTGGAGTAGCCCCATTTTCTATGGAGGAGCTCTTTGCAACCTCGGCTTCCCAAATCGATGTCCCGCTTTCTATTTTCCTGTTCCATTACTTGTTTCGTCTCGCATTTTAGGTGATGTGCACCCCTCGGGGAAATGGAATAAGCTTTCGCAGTCACACACCGGCGCATCAAAACTAATAAAAGAACTTGACAGCTGCAGCATTTTCGTGCCCGATATTGTCCTAGTACTTCTGAAAAGAAATGTGCGAGAAACTTCTATGTGGAGATGTCATCTTGTATATCATTATGGCATAGAGCACTGTGTGCGGTGTATGGTCTAAGTGGCTTGGCATTTTAAAAAAACGCCCTGTCTTAAACTTTTTCTGCGTACCCCACATTTTCTGCTACTAAGCTGAGATGGGGATAACAAGAATAATCAGCAAACTCTAACACGAGGCCAATATATATACCAGTGCCAATGTATCTGAAATAGCTTTCCTCTACTATCTTCTGCCTTTTTCTCGGTCTTTTTTCTCCATCCTACCTTTCTTTGCTGTGTACTGAAGTGAATTACAACAATGTCTGTTCCATCTTCATCATCTGTGGATTTTGACAAGCACACTATTTCTCATGAAGAGCGGCGCCCACTGACAGTGCTCGTGAGCGGAGAAGGTAATGAGTTCATCACATTGGGAGACAAAAAGTATTATCGCCATGAGCTTATGACTGCTTTTGCAGGAACTTTGGTTCCCGAAAGATATGCTCCACCACCCGTTCACAAGTTTGGAAATGCTGCTGCCTTAGGTTTGGCCGCATTTTCCTTAACAACATTTGTATCGGGTCTTTATATATCTGGAGCGATGGGCATCAAGATTCCAGCTGTTGGACTCGGATTAGTTTTGTTTCATGGTGGTTTCGTTAGCGCCGCCGCAGGCATCTGGGAGTTGATAATAGGGAATTGTTTTGGAGGCACGGTACTTACAAGTTTTGGTATGGGATTTTGGCTTTCTTATGGTGCAATTAATGTCAGAGCCTTTGGAATTATGCAAGCATATGCATTAGATCCAGAACAGTTCAACAATGCTCTAGGTTTCTTCATGTTGGGATGGGCAATTTTTACTTTCATGATTGTCATGTGTACGTTAAAGTCAACTTTGTTCTTCATTATGCTTTTCGTGACAATTGACATGGCTTTTATACTCTTCACAGCCCATTACTTTACGGGAAACCATAAGTTGATGACAGCAGGAGGCGTTTTCTGTGTTATTTCATCCTGCTGTGGCTGGGTTTGCGTGTATGCTGGTATTGCTACTCCTCAAAATTCTTATTTTACTGTGAAACCAACTCAGGTGCCTATTTTTGGCAAGAAGAAAGATTAAAACCCAACAATATGTGTGTTATTATTCATAGGTTTATAATGTCAATTTTATGTTCTTTAGGGAGGTACTGATGTTCTTTAGGGAGGTACTGATGTTCTTTAGGGAGGTACTGATGTTCTTTAGGGAGGTACTTGATGTTCTTTTGGGGAGGTACTGATGTTCTTTAGGGAGGTACTGATGTTCTTTAGGGAGGTACTTGATGTTCTTTTGGGGAGGTACTGATGTTCTTTAGGGAGGTACTGATGTTCTTTAGGGAGGTACTGATGTTCTTTAGGGAGGTAATAAAGTTCTTTAGGGAGGTACTGATGTTCTTTAGGGAGGTACAACGATGTTCTTTAGGGAGGTACTGATGTTCTTTAGGGAGGGTGGGATGTTCTTTAGGGAGGTACTGATGTTCTTTAGGGAGGTACTGATGTTCTTTAGGGAGGTACTGATGTTCTTTAGGGAGGTACTGATGTTCTTTAGGGAGGTACTGATGCTCTTTAGGGAGGTACTGATGTTCTTTAGGGAGGTACTGATGTTCTTGTTCTTTAGGGAGCATCCGGATGTTCTTTAGGGAGGTACTGATGTTCTTGTTCTTTAGAAAGGTGATGTTCTTTAG